TGTTTACAACCTAATAACCCTAATATTCTTTGCCAAATCTCGTGTATGTGATGCAAATGAACTTGTACGAAAAAGACGTTGTAAAGTTTCGTTGTCCGTTCCGTCATTGATCCTATCTATGTTTCCATGATGGCCTAATAATACGCTCATTCTTCAGCCGTAGAGAGTCTTTTGAATTGCAATGTACCATTACGAGCGTTATTCTATAAAATAACTCGAATTTCAAGTCATTCACTTGCTTTACCCTAAACAAATAAATCCAAATTCCACCGTACGAGGGAAAATGTTCCAACTAGGGTGTCTCAAACAAGAAATCCTGCAGTGGCCCACATATTTCAGCGGGAACGTGATGTTCAAACTTAGTGAAGTATGAGTCATGCCGCTTAAAGCATAGGCATTCTACACGTAGCTCCGACACATCCCAAAATTGAAGCAACCTTGTTACACGTACATTTTAGTTGACATTCTACTACACATTACAATATTTGACACACAATTTACCATTGATATTTCCAATACAATCAATTATCTCAATTTTGTCACATATTCAAATGTCATCCAAGGTGTGTGAACAAATCCAACGTGGAACTACGATCACCATAAACTTTATCATTTATCAATTATATAAATATTTGGGTGTTCTTAGGAATGGCAAAAAACTCTGATTACTCCAATCTCCTTGTGGAAGAGTCGGGGCTAAGACCCTAGGTATTTTCCAAAATTAAATTAATTATTTTAAAATACAATATATTTATATTATCTTTATATGTATACAAATAACATAACAATTGGCAAAAAATTAAGCTTCCGTTTAGTAAAATTCAAAAATTATTTATAAATGGTCAAATTTTATCTTCAACTACACATTCCAATAGATCTACAAATATTATTCACTTATACATCACTCATTTCTATCGATTTATAAATCATTTCCAAATGGATAATAAAAGACCAAAGATCCAATCCATAGCCCATCTAAATGTAATGTCCACGACTAATTTAATCATAAGTTGATCATCACGGCCTTTTTGATAAATTTACATAGTTACACATATTTGCCATATTCTACAGTCGTCGTCCAAATGATCAACCTTGCCATCACCTTAATATTATTGATCAGTCTTTGATTCAAAGTATCGTCCCATCTCTCAATCGACTCAGGCGGAACCCACGCATTCTTAGAGACCCTATCATGAAAGAAAGGGAAGCAGTAAAATTCAATTTTCTTAGATAATGATCCTAAGTACTACTGCAACATTTTTTTCATAGAGAAATCGCTGTGAGACCAGTACTTTTTAAGTGTTGATGCTTTATTAAGGACCTTTATTTTGTTCCACGTCCAAAAACATCATTCATATTAGAGAAGGAAGATTATTTTTCTACCCAAATTCCTACTTTTGGGGTGTTTGATTAATAGCTTTTTTCATATAAAATATTTTTCAATTTTTAGTCATGTGACCATATTTTCCTCAAAACAAGAAAATATTTTCCTAAGGGAGTAATGATTTTTATTTTCCAAGTAATTTACTCTCTCTTTCTCCCTCATCTACCCACTAATAAAAAATGAACAAATATAATATTTTCTAAATTGAAAATTAAATTAATCAAACACATTTAATTAATGATTTTCATACAAATAAGTTTTATGCAATTGAATTGCCTAAAATTTATTTTCTTTCTAAACAAATTATATTCTTGCAATCAAACGCAAATGTCATAGTTATATTTTATTCTTTTGGCGTATTAATATAAATCGAATTTATAAACACACTAACAAACGAGTTGCTCCTTAAAAAAAATATGTTTTTCTTATTTCATCAACAACCAAAAACCCTACAATACGTTTTAAAGTCTTAAATACTAAAAGAACAGATAAACTATTGGGCCAACAATCCCTTAATAGGCTGAGCTACAAAGCAAAATAAATAAATAATGAACTAATAAACATTAAGTGTCGTTTTGACTTAACAAACGAATTCAAACGTCCAAATCTCTCATACGTCACGACAAAGCAGTGAGTTCAATGGGAATCGTCGCGAGCTTTTCAGAATGGGGTCATGGGCTCAAAACGGAGGGGTAAGAATGGCTACAATGCGATTATTGTATACAGATGGACCTTTTGTCGAACAGGGTAATTGGGCCCCTGCTTCTTCAAGCGGAACTCCAGGTTGAGGAGTTACGCAGAATGCTGCCAAGATAAACTTTTTTTCGTCATGGTAAAATAAGATTAGTAGTATTCTGTTTTCGTGTCTTCATAGCATTCTTCTTTTTCTGAACATCGGATAATGAAAATTAGTCAAAAGTTGTTTTAATAATTCAATATAAAGTATATAGTTTTGTTTCCTGGTGAACGGTTCTTCCACTGCATCAATAATCTATTAAACTATTTCCAAATAGCCTTGCATGCTTAATGTTTACAACCTAATAACCCTAATATTCTTTGCCAAATCTCGTGTATGTGATGCAAATGAACTTGTACGAAAAAGACGTTGTAAAGTTTCGTTGTCCGTTCCGTCATTGATCCTATCTATGTTTCCATGATGGCCTAATAATACGCTCATTCTTCAGCCGTAGAGAGTCTTTTGAATTGCAATGTACCATTACGAGCGTTATTCTATAAAATAACTCGAATTTCAAGTCATTCACTTGCTTTACCCTAAACAAATAAATCCAAATTCCACCGTACGAGGGTGTCTCAAACAAGCAATCCTGCAGTGGCCCACATATTTCAGCGGGAACGTGATGTTCAAACCTAGTGAAGTATGAGTCACGCCGCTTAAAGCATAGGCATTTTACACGTAGCTCCGACACATCCCAAAATTGAAGCAACCTTGTTACACGTACATTTTAGTTGACATTCTACTACACATTACAATATTTGACACACAATTTACCATTGATATTTCCAATACAATCAATTATCTCAATTTTGTCACATATTCAAATGTCATCCAAGGTGTGTGAACAAATCCAACGTGGAACTACGGTCACCATAAACTTTATCATTTATCAATTATATAAATATTTGGGTGTTCTTAGGAATGGCAAAAAACTCTGATTACTCCAATCTCCTTGTGGAAGAGTCGGGGCTAAGACCCTAGGTATTTTCCAAAATTAAATTAATTATTTTAAAATACAATATATTTATATTATCTTTATATGTATACAAATAACATAACAATTGGCAAAAAATTAAGCTTCCATTTAGTAAAATTCAAAAATTATTTATAAATGGTCAAATTTTATCTTCAACTACACATTCCAATAGATCTACAAATATTATTCACTTATACATCACTCATTTCTATCGATTTATAAATCATTTCCAAATGGATAATAAAAGACCAAAGATCCAATCCATAGCCCATCTAAATGTAATGTCCACGACTAATTTAATCATAAGTTGATCATCACGGCCTTTTTGATAAATTTACATAGTTACACATATTTGCCATATTCTACAGTCGTCGTCCAAATGATCAACCTTGCCATCACCTTAATATTATTGATCAGTCTTTGATTCAAAGTATCGTCCCATCTCTCAATCGACTCAGGCGGAACCCACGCATTCTTAGAGACCCTATCATGAAAGAAAGGGAAGCAGTAAAATTCAATTTTCTTAGATAATGATCCTAAGTACTACTGCAACATTTTTTTCATAGAGAAATCGCTGTGAGACCAGTACTTTTTAAGTGTTGATGCTTTATTAAGGACCTTTATTTTGTTCCACGTCCAAAAACATCATTCATATTAGAGAAGGAAGATTATTTTTCTACCCAAATTCCTACTTTTGGGGTGTTTGATTAATAGCTTTTTTCATATAAAATATTTTTCAATTTTTAGTCATGTGACCATATTTTCCTCAAAACAAGAAAATATTTTCCTAAGGGAGTAATGATTTTTATTTTCCAAGTAATTTACTCTCTCTTTCTCCCTCATCTACCCACTAATAAAAAATGAACAAATATAATATTTTCTAAATTGAAAATTAAATTAATCAAACACATTTAATTAATGATTTTCATACAAATAAGTTTTATGCAATTGAATTGCCTAAAATTTATTTTCTTTCTAAACAAATTTATATTCTTGCAATCAAACGCAAATGTCATAGTTATATTTTATTCTTTTGGCGTATTAATATAAATCGAATTTACAAACACACTAACAAACGAGTTGCACCTTAAAAAAAATATGTTTTTCTTATTTCATCAACAACCAAAAACCCTACAATACGTTTTAAAGTCTTAAATACTAAAAGAACAGATAAACTGTTGGGCCAGCAATCCCTTAATAGGCTGAGCTACAAAGCAAAATAAATAAATAATGAAAATAATGAACTAATAAACATTAAGTGTCGTTTTGACTTAACAAACGAATTCAAACGTCCAAATCTCTCATACGTCACGACAAAGCAGTGAGTTCAATGGGAATCGTCGCGAGCTTTTCAGAATGGGGTCATGGGCTCAAAACGGACACTGTATGCAAAAGTTACGTAATTTTCTTCGAACGCCAACTATCCAAACGTTCCAAATGCGTACGCAAGTATCTATTCCTCCACACTAACCTTCATCACGTATCAATCATTTAATTGTTTTCAAATTTAATTATATTTAGATTTTAATTAATATGTAAATAGAAAATATAAATATAAGATTAAAAAATATATTCAGACGCGATGTGAACTGTACAGGATATCCCATTTCATTTAGCAGTATGAGATTAAGAGAAAATAAAGTTGTAATAGTAACAACTCGAGCCTCTATATTCAAACTTACGTGTTGTTCTTTTTCTCGAGTCTAAATCCATTTTATCCTTCACGAAATTCTATTGCGTCCCCCAAAATTCATATTCAAATTTAAACTATATTAATGAATGTATACATGATTGGATACTCCGGTTACAAGAGGAAGACAGACTACCTACTTGTACACAACACAGAACAGGAAGCTATGTAACTTCATTCGGTAAAGCTATATAAACTCGGATTTTTCTGAGCATCAGAACAGGAAGGCGTCAAAGCAACCAAAGCTCATATCATAAGCATCTTCAGTAATATTTCATTATCAAGAAAGATGTTCGAGCACAGTAATCTTGTAAAGTCATGATAGCGAAGGTATAGACGTTCCTTGACTAAGGTAGTTAAAGACTTGCTTTAGATTACCTCTTGACGGGCGAGCATTAACGGCAAATTTACATATAAATACCAATCTTCTACGCAACTCTAACTTGGTTATACGTGTCTCGTTAAAGGAGTTCCCATCATCAAAGTGTCCTATTAACAGAATTTAAATTAGACAAACACAATAAAACACAAAATAGTGGTGTTCGTTATGTGTGCTCTGTAGCATTGAACAGTTAAACTAAGAGAGGAAAATCAAAAATAAAAGAAAAATATCGAATCTTAAACTTGATATGAGATTCTAATACATACCTGCGTCAGTATATAATGAAGTAAAGATTGCCAAACACACACATATGCTTATATCTTCTCCTGTAAACAGAACAGATATAAGAGAATCGTGGTCAGTTTTGTACATTACTATGACGTCCAAAAAATATGTTGTAACGTAACATTACGAATTTTTTTCTAAGTTCTTTATTCTTGTGTAGCTAAGTGCATAATAAGCAAAGCTTAAATTGTTTTTTTCTCTTTTTTCTTTTTCCTTATAAGTTGTGGGTCTGACAAATTATATGATAAATAATTGTGGTCATACGAAATGAGTTGATATGAAGTATGTTTGACCAGCTCAAAAAATAATTTAAGCTTTGCCAAACATGCAGTAAATAAGTAATGCCACTGAAATGAGATAAAAAGTTTGGTTGTTCCAAAGTACAGAAGGATTGCCAAATCATGAGTCCATAGTTATAACCGTCATTTTCACCATCGGGATATTACAAACTAAACCATCCTAATCAATCGCTAAGGTAGCAACCGTGCATCAAAGAAGATAAACAGAATAGTAGAAAGCTTACCATTGTCGCAGCAAATTAGAAGTGTCTTCCCTTGTCTTAAGTTCGTTTTGGCAAAATCCAAGGCAGAGGGAAGATTTCTCAACAAAGAAAACCTATCAAATTTGGAGTCCTATTCACGAGTAGAAGAGAAAGAAAGAGAAAATATGGTAAATATCCACAAATATGTATCTAGTGAATGCCAATCATTCTGCAATACATACCACGATTGGCAGGTATAGATACGATTCTGAATCCATAGAGAGAGAGACTGACTCCTTGTGACAGTTTATTATGCTATCAGCAGGAAACATGTCCACGGCTGCAATATAGTATCTCATTAGACTGGGTTGGTAAGCATTATTCTAAAAATTAACTGATGCACAAGCAAAAGAGAAAATTAAATGATGCCAGTTCATTATACTGAGATTGACTTTAAAGCATTTTGTAAGCATTGAGCACTTCTAATATTGTCTTTTAAACTCTCATTAGACTGGGTTGGTAAGAATTATTCTACAAATTAACTGATGGACAAGCAAAAGAGACAATTGGATGATGCTAGTTCATTAGACTGAGGTTGACCTTAAACTTAAAGCATTCTGTTGTCATTGAGCACTTCTAACTTGGCTTTTAAACTCTTCACAAAAATTATAAGGGACACAAAGTGAATCATAATATTGATTTGCCAGTGCCATATTCACCTATGCAACAACCACTAGTAACAGTCTCCGCATTTGCAATATCAAAAGGTGAACAGAAGAAATCAAATAAAACCAACCAAGAAGAAAAATTTGACCATTTTGACGAGAAAAAAAATAGGAAAAAAAAATAAAGTACCGAGTGGAGTTCTTCCAACTGCGATGTTAGTTGAGCCCAACCAAGATATTGCGTAGTTGTCACTTGATTTTTCATCCCCAGCCAAACTAGGAATATCCACGTCAAACGGGTTTGTTCTACCCAAACATTTTGAAGGTCTGATGGACACCTGAGGAGCATTTTCTCCCCTTTGTGCCCGATAAACTCGATCCTTTTCAACAATATTAGCTACCTTTTGGTTACACAACTCAGGACCTAAGCTTATAAGATCATAGGCATTTTTCCAGAAAAGATTAGGTGATAAACCCCTTGCCCAACTTTCCTCGTCGTCACCAGCTCCAGGAATATAATTCCAGCTAAACTCAGAGGTAGTTAGTTTCTGAAACATGCTACTCAACGATGACGCAGAAATAAGCATCACAGGTGTGAAATCCCACGAATCATATTCAGGTACTTCATTCAACCAGATGACAGTTTTCTGTGATATCCATAATGGTCGTAGAGGTTTTCTCAGGGATGATGAAATTGAGGCAATGTCTGCTCCACTGGCTTCAAATTCCTTGGTCCATCCTTCCAAACGGGCATCAATCATTGCTTTCTCAGTTTCTGAAACCCAGAGAGGAAGATGCAAGGAACAATCCCACTCAGAAGACTCTTGCTCAATATTACTAGTTAGCTCATCCGAACTATTTGATTCCTGTTAAGGTGAATTAAAGCCAAATATTGATTAATGTAAATATAATTATGAGCAAGGATCACAACCCAAAAACAATAATACGGAAGGAATATGGTATCACAGACAACACTGGTGTTTGGAATAATGCAAGATGCATCAACTCCGAAGAGTCAATAACTCGTCACAAAATAGTAAATTGATCAAGTGGATGAGCAATGCTACTAATAAAGCATGGCTGCTGAGTCTGATAACCTAATTATTTGCCTGTCCAATACTTAAATCACTTCCCAAGGCTGTCATACAATTGCTTTCAATCAGCGCCAAACGCTAATCCCTGATGAGATTCATTTTTATTGAGCAGTAGATGTGACCTTTTCTCACTTTTCCACAAAATGGGCCTCGGTCAAACGAAATAAAATCTAGAGAATTCCGAGTTATTTTTCTTTTCCTTTTTTTCAGAAAGAGCACATATGGTTTCCATCATTATATTATGAAACAAACCACTATGCCAAATAAAGCATATCAACTGAAATGATTTGCATGGATTTGATGTCAGATGCATTTTAATGGCAAATGTAAGAAATTTACAATCAAGTATAAAACCACCCAGGTCAAAATAAACCTCATTCTAATGTACTTGGGTCGGCCAAATGGGTTTTAATTTGTACAAATATATAGATAAATTAATTATGCTGAAACTACCGGCCAAAAAGTTATCACATATAGCTCAAATTAACTCAAATGGATATGATGTGAGATGACATTTTACATGGCAAAACTAAGAAATTTATAATAATAAAGTGAAAATGTATTCAGGTGCATCAAAATGAAAAGATCAGCATTGTAAACTTCTTATATGTGAACACACTCGTAGTGCTTCAACTTCAATCAATTACTAAAGAAAATAATCTTCTACTCACATTCTTTAGAGTGCCGTTTCCATCCATTCTGGCCCTATGATTAGAAATCGCACGATTTAACACACAGGTCCAAATTGGTATTGTCTTGGACATACTGTCAGGAAACCTCTTCCCTTTTCTTGTGGAATCAACAATCATGACTCCACCCTTCTGTCCTACCCATCAAAATAAAAGTTAAAAGTGCATTCCATATACCTCTGCAGTAGTACTGCTGATCATATTTGGTTGATCAAGCATAAAAAATGAGCAGGTTTAAGAGTAAACTTGCATTATTCCAACAATTTAAAAAATAAATCTTGAAGAAAAAACTCAAAAGATTGCAACTTTAGCAATATTCACAAAAAGGATTTTAGCGTCCAGTATAATTTTTATATATCTTAAACTTTTGCATATGATGTTACATTTATATGACGCATATCACTCATTATTTTATTACAGAATGCATACTACAAAG